CGCCGGACAGGCTCTGCCGGGGGTGTCATCCCGACAGCAGCGCAGCCCCGGGCCCCGGAAAGGCCCCAGCTCCCCCCGCCGCCGCCCCTGTGCGGGACGCCCGTGGGTGAGAGCCTGGCCCTCGGGGTGCTGGGCTGGGGTTGCCTTGTGGGAGCCTTCTTGGCGACGAGGTGATTGTATCTTGTTCTCCAAGCTGAAAAGAAAGGATGAGTAAGAGCAAGGACGATGCTCCGCATGAGCTGGAGAGCCAGTTCGTGCTGCGGCTGCCGCCGGTAAGAGACCGTTCGGTCTGGTACAGCTGAAGTGGCCACCATCACGTTTAACACGCAGCTCAGTCCAGTTTGCTTGGCGGGCACGGGGGCTGGGAGAGGGATTAGCAACGCGGGTGAAGTCAGTGGGAAATCTGCGGACCTGGCAAGGGACATGGAAGGGGTGGGATGCTTTTGGCCTTGGGTAGCCCATTCCCACGAATTTGAACAGTTTTTCCACAGCCTCCTCTTGAGAGGTGCTCCTGTGACACAGAGCAGGAGGCTTGGAAGACAACTAGGGAGGAAATTTTAGCAAGTGCTGGGTCTTCAGTTGCTATGGCTGTCAGTGTACCTGATGCTTTTTGTTAGATGCTTAAAGCTGAGACTGTCCCCTGCGGAGACCACAAGAGCTTGGTGAGGGGAGCTGTAACTTCCCCCAGAGCTGTGGTCCTCTGGTAGGGTATCTGTCGGGGGCCTCACGCCACTGTCACAGCTGTATCATGTCGGGGGGTGTGAAGGGCACTGGGAGTAACAGAGCCACAGGGTTAACGCGTGGTATTGGGAGGAGGGCGCAATTTTCATTGCGGTTCTTGCAGTTGTTTTTCTGCATTGGGATGGCAGGGGTGTTTAAAGCTGGGTAGGTTGGACAGAAGCCTTTGATGATTCTCGGAGGAAGCACACTCAGTCCTGACGTAAGTCTGTCCAACCTTCCCAGGAATATGCCTCCACTGTGCGGCGAGCAGTACAGTCCGGGAATGTCAACTTGAAGGACAGGCTCACCATTGAGCTACATGGTGAGTGAGCAGTATCAGGACATCTTAAAACTCCTCTGACTGTCCGCAAGTGAAGCTGTGCAACTTGCATGTGTTTTCCCATGAAATTTCTGCTGCCCAGGAATGTATTGCTCAGTTTAGCTGTTTAGCAACAGCACTAACCTGTCCTGTGGCTTTCCGCAGCGGATGGGCGCCATGGGATTGTCCGCGTAGACCGGGTGCCACTGGCAGCCAAGCTGGTGGATCTGCCCTGCATCATTGAGAGCTTAAAAACCATTGACAAGAAAACCTTCTATAAGACAGCGGATATTTGCCAGGTATGGGCTATCCTCCTTGCCTGCCCCAACAGCTTAACTCCTTGCTCCCCTCTCCAGGAAAACCCTTGTACACTTTGGGAGCTGGACACCCAGTATAACATGGCCAATTTTTGTATTCTCACAATATTAGCAGTTTAAAATTCCCCACTCCGCTTGGTGTTTAGAAATCTCATTTCTGAAGCATGAAATGTGATTGTCCTTGTAACAGCTTAACTGCTGCTGTGTTTAGATATGAACTGAGCTGGGTGTGAAACATTGTGTTTCTCATACCCCACGCCCATGAATCCCTTTGGCTCACAATATGCAGTGGGAAGTCACTGTTCATCTTCCAGAAAAGCTTTCACATCCTTTTGTCCTTGCGTTACAATAAGCACCCTTTGTGTTTATACGGGGATTCCAGATGCTCGTTTGCACTGTGGATGGTGATCTCTACCCGCCTTTGGAAGAGCAAAGTGTGAGCACTGACCCCAAGGCAAACAAGAAGAAAGACAAGGACAGAGAAAAGAAATTCATCTGGAACCATGGCAGTGAGTAGAGGCTGTGCCAAACCCCTCCATCCCACCACCCCAGTGTCCCTACAGCTGTGCAGGGCACTCACCACTGCCGTGTCCCAGCTGTGCTGCTGCTCCGTTTTCAGTGCTGTCTCTGTTCCTGAAGGGATCTTCTCCCTTTTGGCATGCAGCTCTCCCATTAGGCCATCTGTCTGACACATGCAATCTGTTTCCTCTGTCACAGTCACTCTTCCCTTGAAAAATGTACGGAAGAGACGTTTCCGGAAGACGGCTAAGAAGAAGGTGAGTTGCTTCTCACACAGATGCAGGTGCAATAACCAAGGGATAGGAAGGCAGAGGCATTAGAGCTGTAACTGTCTATTAGTCCAGAAAACATGTAATTTCTTAACATTGCTTCACATGTTTCCTTGCACGAGATGAGGGTGAAGGGAGGGTAGTAGATTTAAACACTTCCTTGGGTGCTTCCTCCATGTTTTCCAAGATGCTCCTGAGGGGAAAATCCTCTGTGCAGAGAACTGCTGGACTCCATTCCTGTGGCTGCCTTGCCATAGCGCATCTCTTCCTGCTCATAGAGAAGAAAGGAAGACTTGCATGGAAATGAGGCTTCGCTCATTCCTGCTTTCTCAGCTGAAATCTGTCTATGCATAGCCTGTTCACTTCCCCAGCAAGCAACACTACAAATAGAATAACTGTCATGTCAGCTGGGGGAGTGACAACAGATGGAGCTCAGAGACTGACTCTGTGCATATGCACAAGCCAGGCAAGGTGTTGGGGAGATGCAGCACTGTGAGGCTGGGAAGACTTGTTCTTCTCTGCTTTGCAGTTTCTGAGAACAGGATGGAGTGTTATTTTGCATGACATTTGAGAAACAAATTACTTGAGACATTCTTATAGCTCACAGGAGAGACTTGATGTCACTGCATTAAGATTCCTGGCTAATTTAGAAGTGAAAAATGAAACCTTCTTTTGAGTGAGATGGGAAGGAGTTGAGTTGACCATCCATCAGGAAACTCAAGGACTTTCTGCATACACACAGAAAGTCTTATTTCATAAGTAGTATAAGTAGAAAAATGAGAGTATACAACCCACCAAGGAGCTCTGTACAAAAAAGATGGATTGCTTTCTGGAGGTGCATAAATTACTTTTAGGGTGAACTTGAGCAAAGGCTGAGCAGAAAGCATAAGAGAAGAAAGGCTTGAAATAGGTCTCTGTTCAGAGGTGGAGGGTTGGAGTTGACCAGCACCAGCAGCCTGCACGAGGCATTTAACAGTGTCTCTGTTCTCTTTCCCCTCTCTGACCCAGTATATTGAGTCTCCTGATGTGGAAAAAGAGGTGAAGCGTCTCCTGAGCACAGATGCTGAAGCTGTCAGTGTCCGTATCCTTTTAGGAGAAAAAAAGCTCAAGTGGGGGACAGGACACTATGTGTGACCTGGGGGTTGTGGAAAGGGGAGACAAGTTCAGCTTTGTGTGAGTGTGAGAGGCTGGGGACGTAAGCACACAAGAGGCACTGAAGTTTTGGAGCTTCATCTTTGCCTTGTTCAAAGCTCATTGTTTCTTCATGGTGACCTTCCTTGCAGACTGTACTATTGTACTGAGCAGGAACTTAAGTAACAGCAGAGGAGAAGTCATCAAAAAGGGGCTGGGGTGGTTCGTCCTGGATATCCATAGCGGCAAGGCCAGACTTGTTGGAGGGGCGGTGATCTCCTGCAGTTTTTAGCATTCTTTCATCATACTGCATCTTTCACATTCCTCTTTTTCCCTTGACTCGTCTGTTCCTGCTATCAGGCTGGGAAGTCATTGCTGAAGATGAAACAAAAGAAGTAGACAA